AAAAAAGACTAAAATAATTACCCCCATTTCTTTAATATTTAATACTACATAGTACATTTTCATTAAAATACTAAAAATATCAATTATGATAATTTTTATAAGTCAATTTAAAAATCGGTAAATTCATAAAATGATTAATGGCCACTAAATAAATTGTTTTTAAGAAGGAACAATTATTTAAATGGGTATTTATTTCAATCTAACTCATAAATGCATAATTATAAAATAATTACTTTATGCTATTGACCTATGGATAACCTTACGGATAAGGACAAAATTAAACACACGTGTCATATGTCAGTGGGGGCTTGTCAGACAAATCTAGCCCAAGAGAATCCAGTGAACCTTGATCGCACGTGCCAGTCACGATATCACGCGATCAACAAAATCGCAGCCATTCAATATTCTCTCTAATTTATTTCACCAAAAATGAATTTTAATTTTTGAAAACTTAATAAAGTTGAGTTTTATTCGCCGCCGACAGAGAACATCGACCGTTCCGACACATTTTCCGTCGGTTTCCTTCTAGTTATGGATTAATTAAAGGTAGAAATAGTAATCTAATCCTACGGTGGAGATTTGAATAACTAGAAGCCCCGTGGTCCTGGGCTGTCTGATTTCCGATCAACCGAAGAAAACGACGTCGTAGAGGGGATGGTAGGAAATGAAATTACCTTGGGGTCAAGAGGGATTCACTTTGGTGAGTGTAGGCCAGATGGACATGATCCCCGACCTGCACCGACACGGCGGAGGAGTTGGTGTCGACGAAGCGGTTGACCCAGATGGACATGATCCCCGACCTGCACCGACACGGCGGAGGAGTTGGTGTCGACGAAGCGGTTGACGAGAGTGGCGGAAGTGGTTTTGGGCGACGGCGTACGGCAGCCGGCGGCCACTAACTCGTCAGGCGGCGATATGATGGAGCTGCTGAATACTCCCAGCATGGCTACTTTCAAAAAACCAACTGAATCAATAATAAAAATAAATAAATAAATAAAACCAAAACCCAGAAGGGTTCTTATGGATTAATTGGCGAAGGTAGAAATATTAGAAGCTCGGGAGCTGGATGGACGATGGCTTGGCTTGTATGGCTTATATAGCGAAGGTAGAAATATTAGAAGCTCGGGAGCTGGATGGACGATGGCTTGGCTTGTATGGCTTATATAGGAGACGATGAGGGTACTTTCGTCATTTCAATGTTGGGTGCTATTTTATTTTTATTTTTAATTTTAATTGTTTTGTTCCGGTGGACTGTGGAGGTAGGCAGCCAAGTGTAGAAGGAGATGGAAATTTGGCGGGGGTGGGACCCACCTAATGGCGATTATTCCAGGGTGTGAGGATGATGACGTGGAGGAAACGGCAGGCACCACTCTGATTTTATTTTGTGGGTTTTGCTCTTCTTCTTACTCCACGCGCGGAGGAAACGGCAGGCACCACTCTGATTTTATTTTGTGGGTTTTGCTCTTCTTCTTACTCCACGCGCCATCCACGTCGGAGCTACGTGTACACGTGGACGAAGCTCCAAGGAAGAAAGAAAAAAAGATCTAATTTAATATCGACATAAATTAAAATAAATAGTTTTTTTAAAATTTAGTTGCATATGTGACACTAAGGTTATGAGAGGGATTAAATTGGAAACAAATTTTGGATAAGGAAAAAATAATTTTATAATTTATGGGAAAATGATAACCATGGTTAAGTGTTAGTGGTCAACTTTCTTAACTCCAAACTTAACCCTAATTGCAAATAGCCACGTGGCTTAGCCATGGTGGAATTTTAAGTACAAAAACCACCTTGGATTGGAATATTTTAAATAGCCACGTGGCTTAGCCATGGTGGAATTTTAAGTACAAAAACCACCTTGGATTGGAATATTTTTCATAATATATAATATTAAACATCTGAATTTTTTTATCTAATAAAACATTAAACTTTGAATTTTGTATGAATTTCTTTTGAATATAATTTATTAAATATTTTTTTGATTTATTATATATTTTCTAAAATTTAAGGATTTATCTTTGCTTTTAATAGATAAATTAACACAAACCTATGAATTACTTTATTTATCAGATATTTATTAAATTGGATTACTAAAAAATAAAGTTAAAATATTTAAGAGTCAAACACACACAGCAAAGAAAATAAAAAAATTGGGTAATAATTCTTTCAACGAATTGTCAAAATCCAATAATTCATCCAACATAATAAATAACAAATAATTTATAAGAATAAAAGAGGAGGAAAAATAACACTTTTTGGGTGCAAAATATCTATTAAACAATAAATTATATAAGAATAAAAGAGGAGGAAAAATAACACTTTTTGGGTGCAAAATATCTATTAAACAATAAATTATTTTGGAGGGCTCGTGAATTTATAAATTATTAATAAATTATTAATAATTCATCCTACCGTACGGGAATTTATAAATTATTAATTTTCTTTTAAACAATAAATTATTTTGGAGGATCCTTAATTTATTTAGGGAATTTATAAATTATTAATTTTCTTTTAAACAATAAATTATTTTGGAGGATCCTTAATTTATTTAAATTTTTTTCATAAAATACTTATTTATTTATTTTCAAACGATTAATTACAACTCAATTTTAATATATAGTTTAAAAGATTTATATTTTAAAGAGCCGTGGAACAATAAATAATGAAAAATAATATATTTTAAATAACCGAATATAGTTTAGGGCAACCATGAACTAACTAAATTAAATTACAGAGATTGGTTTGAAAATATATTTAAAATTAAAATTTTAAAAAATATTGACATGGATTAATAAAAACAAATATCAAGGATAGAAATAAAACCTACAATAATTTATTTAAAATTAAAAAAAAGTACCCTCAAATAAATTAAAAGGCAAAGAAAAAAAAGAATATGACGCGTATGAAAAAGATATAGATATTTTAAAAAATAAAAAGTAATTAAAATAATACAATATCCGATGGCGACGTCCACGGTTTTTGGGTCTGGCCCATAGTTTCCAATTTCGCTAAATAATACAATATCCGATGGCGACGTCCACGGTTTTTGGGTCTGGCCCATAGTTTCCAATTTCGCTAAAAAAAATATAAATTACACGTAGATAGAGTCTAAAAGTAAAAAATAATAAAATTATGTATAAAATAGACCAATCAGAAAAAAGAATATAAATATATAATTAATAATTAGCTCATCAAAGTGGAAAAAGAAATAGACCAATCAGAAAAAAGAATATAAATATATAATTAATAATTAGCTCATCAAAGTGGAAAAAGACAATATAAATAATTGTGGTACTTATTTTAATTTTATAAAAGAGAAGGGTAGAAAGGGAATTTTGGAAATTATGATTTTTGTACAATCCAACTACTGCCACCACCATCAATTGTCACTAAATAAATATTTTGAGTGAGAGAAAAAAAAATTAAAGTGAGAAAGAGCCCATTTTTCAAAAACTTGTTGGACCACTTCTATTTGGATCATATTTGAAATTAAGCGAAAATAATACGACTTTAGTGATGAGTACAGGTCAATTCAATGTTTCGGGTTTAGGGTTTAGGGTGATATCAGGATTTAGATTGTTGAATTTACGGTGAATTTGTATTATCGAGAATCGAAATGTGGCTATAAAACAAGAGAAAATGAATATTGGTGTTGTATTGAGCCACCTTCACTCCAATCCTGTGCGGTGAGCTATAAGATTGAGTTGGACCCATGACATAGCTAATCACTTGGAGTTGACTTTGAAGTTGAGTTGAGCCTTTTGGATATGGTTAAGGTTCAGTTGACTTTTGTTGAGAATCCTATTAACATGACTTTGATTTGATACCATGTTACAAGAACTCTGTTCACTGATATGAGGCATTTTGAAGAAGCTTAAACCAAAACCATGAGAGCTTATATTCAAAGTGGACAGTATCATACTCAAATGCTAAATTGATTCTTCTCTTGGTCGGTCTCACAATTGATTTGTCTTTTTTTGTTATAGGGTTCCATCATTTTATTTTGAACCTCTTTGAAATTGCATTTACGAAACATTGGTTGGCCAAATAGGCATGGACTACTATCGCTGGTACCAAAATTTTCATTTTCTTAAGAAACAAAATTTTTTGTGGACATCGCGGAACAATTTTTAATATATGTTTTAATCAATTGAGTGAGTTCAAGTTAGCTTTTATTTATATGTCAAAAGCCCATGAAACAAATGTCGGCCCTAATGATCTTGATGGGCTCATTGGCCCAACTGAAAATGGCCCAGCATTGGCCCAAAATCCATCCAGCAAAAAAAAAAAAAAAAAAAACTTATATAATTAAAATTTTAAAATTTATTAATTAAATCAATTTAGAAGAGATGTTTGGCATAATTAAAGAAAGTCTAAAATATAAATATTTTAATAATTTAATAATACTGCGAATAAATAATAAATAATTACATAATATTCCAGACCATGTCAGCATTAAAGAATGAAGTAATTAGCTGGTTGATGTTTAATAATTAAGTTAAATCTAATTTATTTTATTTCTACTTTTACCTAAACATGATGGCTTTTCCATAATTTTAAATGCTTAAACTTCATTTATGCTTTAATCTCCATGATTAGTGATAATGATGGCATGCACTAATATGATATAATAGTAAATGCGATTATATTATATTTTTATTGTCCATTCTGACCAATAATTTGTTACGAATGCTAGATCTCTTTACATTAAATATAATAATGAATAATCAATTATAATTTTATAATGATGGTAAAAAAAAATAAAAAAAAATGCACGGGTGTCACAGACCCCAAGTAAGTCATCGATGACAATGGCTAGTTCAAGTGAGATAATATGTCACAACTATACTAAAGGTCAAGGAAAGTAGTGACCTCAAGAGGTGCCCATTCGACCACGGGAGGGTCAATATAAATAAAAGAATGTCATGATGCACAGTAGCGACCGAAGAGAACGGTGCATCATTCAGCACACTAAGTAATTCACAGTTAGTAAATAATTAAAGAAAAGCATGGTTAAATATTCATGTCCATAAATTATTGAAGCATGAAAAGCAGCAACACTTATTAAGGGGTACCTTAAACATTTAATTAAGACTAATTAATCAAGGTTTAGAGGTAAAATTGAAATTAGCACACGTGGTCATCCGACCCAGAAGAGTGGCGCTAAATCCAAGTCTGGAAGTGGCCAAATCAAATTCAAGCAAATTGTTCTCAATCTGGTGGGCCCCAATAACGATCGAGGTTCGTGGGTTCACGCCGCCGTCCACAAACCCCAAGCACAGCACGTCGTCCTTCACATGCACCATCGAGTTCGCGCCGAATATTCTCCAAATCACTTTCTTGTTCTGCAAAATCAGTTCAATCGACGGCACGCCTGGTCCCAATCGGGTGCTGGAAATGCTCTTCGCATTGAAACAAGCTCCGAATGGCGCCACCGCCGCCACTCTTGGAATGTTTTTGAGCGCCGTCGTGAAGGTTTTCAACACGGCGTTGTAAATTGAGGATTCTAAAACGGTGTATGGATCGACGGTGCTGATTTTGGTTCCGCCGACGCCGTTGCTGTCGATTTTTAAGAGGGTGGTGTTGAGTGGGACGGTTTTGGAATTGATGACGATGGATTTTACGCCGATGAAATATTCGGTGGATTTTTCGCCGGTGGTGAAGACGCCGGCGGTGCTGACGGGGTTGATGAAGAGTGGGGTGTATGTGAGGGAATCGGTTAGGTCGATGTTGGGTAAGAAATGGTATGGGCCGTTACCGGAGAAGATTACGCCGGGGAAGCTGGTGGAGCCGCTCAGGCAAATGGCGAATTTTCTGTTGAAGCTGAAGGCGGCGGAGAATTGGGATGGGAGAGAAATCCCGTTCCGTCCGAATCCGGCCATTCCGGTTACGCCGCCGGCGAGGCCGTCGAGGAGAAACGTGGTCCCACAGACAAAGAGGAAATTCGGGACCGTCACGGGCTTGGTTGGATTGAAACCGTCGGTGGAGGAAACAGAGACGACGTCGGAGGCGAGTTCGCCGCTAGTGGAGAGATGAATAATGGTATTCCCAGGGAACAGACTGCACGTGTTGTTATTGCAGCCGGGTCTTGGCGGCGAGAAGCACTGGCCACAGCCGCTGGACTTGGAAGCAAGGTTGCACTGAGCGGAGCGGCAACGTGCAGGCTTGTAGGTGGAGGAAATGTAGCCACGGTCACAGTCCACCCACATGAACTGGCTACCGAGGTCGACGGTGAGCTTCACCGGAACCAGAGGGGTCCGCTGCCGGATCTGGGTAATGTACTGGAGAGAAGGGTGTTTGGTGACCGGAAGAACGAGAGCTTTGGGGCGGAAGGAGGTTGCTGCGATGGCGGAGGAGAGGAGGAGGAAGAGAACAGAGTAGAAGAAGGAGAGGGAAGTGGAGGTCGCCATTGTTGGTGGTGCGTTGCAGAAATGGAGATCTGTGGATTTATATAGGAAAAACATGGACAAAAAAAATTTAAAGAATATTTTTGAATTTTTTTAAAAATTTTCAAATATATTTAAAAAAAAGAGTAATCATAATTTTTTTTTTTGAAAAAAAAAAAACATTTTAAAAGTTCAATTCTATTTTAAAAATAAAATAAAATAGGTTTGATTTTATTTGAAAAATAAAATAAGATAGCACCAAATATTTGACTTTTCAATGGAAATACATTCTTATCCATTAATGAATAATAATAATAATAATAAAGTTGCCGTTGTCTTATATGCGTACGGCTACTGGATAAAAATATTTTAAGATAATCAAAACTCATTTCAATTATTTTTTTATTTATGAAGAAATTAATAATTCCATAATATCCTAATTAAAAATACTTATTTATACTAATAAGATATACATTTGATTCCGTCGTAAAAATCCTAAAATTAAATATGTTTGGATTGGAACAATCTTACGTTGGAACAAAATACTTTTTCAAGATGCAACAAAATATTGGACATCACGAGGTTATTCGACATCTGAATTTTGTATTACATTATATTATTTTCATATATAAAAACAAATATTTGAGTCTCGAACTTTTAAGCCGATGACATGGGTAAAAATTATTTTAGAATCTTACTCCAAATTAGTCTGTAATTTGATTTTTCGTTAACCTAATTTAACCGATAATCTCTTATAAAAGACAGAACTCTTCGAAATAAGAGTAAATGTTCAATATTTGAATTTTTGACGTTGGGATATCTATGATTATGGATGTGGAGAAAAGATTTGGGAAGAAAAAAATTAAGATGTTGCGTGTTGATAACCTAAAGTCCAAATTTATAATATCTTATGTTATATTAACGTCACATCTATATAACTTTATTGATAAGATAATAGATTACGTCTTTAATTTATCATAAACTTTCGACATTACTTTTTATTATATTAAAATTATTATAAAATAATATCGATAAAGATAGCGTTAGATTAATTAATTATATACAATGCTTAATCTACATTCCATCGCGTTAGTTTGATTGAAGACTTTGACTTTGACTTTTAATATACTAATCATTTCTAGCGGGGTATAACACTTATTAAATGACGTAATAAAACTATTTTTATATTTATATTTATTGTGGACTGACCTAAGACTAGTCAAACCGGTTTTAGTAGCACTGACTCGGATTGATCCAAGCTTAAAAAATTGTATAACCCACCTCGATCATCCTTAACATACTACTAAACGAGCACACGTCTTGTCGTATGTCTTGTTTTTTAATTTGTGTTTTACGAATATAAATATGATAAAAAGAAATACAAAGATAATATATTATATTAAAAAAATAATAAAGTTGTCAATTTAATTCCAACTCTATCTTGATTATATTCATGGCACACCTTGCTAGATTTTGACCTATATTTTGTTTAAAAAAATATTTTAATTTATCATTTTTTCAATTATTGTTCAATTATTCAAATAAATTAACGTTTCTCTCATAAAAATTGTTGATATTTTAAAATGGTAATTAGTGTTTTATTCACTAATTCTACTGATTGAATTATTGGACGTTAGTATATTGTTAGAATTTTAGACGATAATGGTTCATTGAAATGATGATTGATATCTTATATCTATGCTCGTATTCGCCGTTGGAACATTTTTTTAAGAGTCGTGATAGTACGCTACGAAAAGGGTTGCGAAAAATCTACGTGTCACATACGGAATTTCATTCTAACTTCTTGAGCCTCGTGCTTCCAACGACAATTATGAGAAAAATTTGTGATCACACCTGAGTACAATCAATTACTGAACTCACACAATCAATTCGATATAGAACAGTATCTCGTTAACCGTTACGTACTCAATCTAACATGATAGAAAACTAACCTGATAGAAATAATTAAGCACTTCACGTACCCACTTGAAATTTGAGTTTTACATACTCGATGCATATGTATAGATATCATGATCTATTTCAGCTGATACTCACCCTTAGGGGCACAACGATATTGGTGATTATAAACCGAGATATAACTATTTGATCGGGCATTCATGAATGGATACACATCAACGATATTGGTGATTATAAACCGAGATATAACTATTTGATCGGGCATTCATGAATGGATACACATCAAACTTCAGGTAGATATAATGAGAAAGGAGAAGTTTTGCATGGAAATAATTAAGAAGAAGAGTTATAAGAACACACCCTGTTGGCTATGGCTCGCTTAAACTCACGAGAGGCACGTAATTGGGGCAAGCTATTAGGCGTGAGACGCGTAATACATTGCATATATTAAGAAACAAACTAAAGTGAAGGAATTATAATGAAGTGAAAGAATTAAGTCTCACGAGACTACAACATGTTGCATTTATTGTTGTCCCAAAACCCTACCAACTTGCCTTTTGCCTCGTTGTGTTAGCCATATAAATAGATATCAATGGCTGTTTTGGTGCCAAATTTGTGAACAAAACATGGCTCATATTGCTGTGGAGAGGAATAGGAGAAGGCAGATGAATGAACATCTTAGGGTTTTGAGAACTTTGACACCTTGTTTCTATATCAAAAGGGTATCTTTTGATCTGTTTTTGTTCTATTTTTGTGTTGATTTTGATATGATTTTGATTATGTGAAGTGGGTTTTTGATGTTATGTTAGGGAGATCAAGCGTCGATAATTGGGGGAGTGATCGAGTTCATTAAGGAGTTGCATCAGGTTTTGCAATCGTTGGAGTCGAACAAACGGAGGAGGAAGAGTGTAAGTCCGAGCCCGAGTCCGAGGCCGTTGGTGGCGGTTGCCGATGGATTTGAAAATGGAGTTGATGTCGGAGCTTGTTGTAACTCATCGGTGGCGGATGTCGAAGCGAAGATTTCAGGTTCGAACGTGCTGTTGAAGATCATTTCTCGACGAATTCCTGGGCAACTTTCGAAGATGATTAGTGTGTTGGAGAGGCTGTCGTTTGAGGTTCTTCATCTCAACATCAGTAGTATGGATGACACTGTTCTTTACTCTTTTGTTGTCAAGGTATATACCAAATTAATAGGACTAACCAGTTTTGTTTGGGTTTTTTGGTTGGAGATTTTACAAACCCTAATTTTCTCTTCCCAAAAATCTTTTTTTTTTCTTTATTTCTGTTACCTATAGCACCTTGATTTTATGAAATTTGAAACAAAATTACATGGGAATTGAAGTTGATCAAAAATTAGGGTTATAACGGGTTGAAGTTTGATCACAGTAGTTCAACAATCACAAGTGTCAAATTAAATCATCGAACTTTGAAATGATCATCAATGTCTTATGATCCACAAAACGTGCAGAAGGGTTGTTCATATAATCAACTCTTTAAGAATATTTTAGCACGGTTTAAGAATTCGGTGATCTTTCTCTTGATATATCTCGATCATTTCGAAGTGAATTGAGCAAAACTAAGCTTTTGGCTTTAGTTAGAGTTATGGGTTTCCATTTTTACATTTCGAAGTGAATTGAGCAAAACTAAGCTTTTGGCTTTAGTTAGAGTTATGGGTTTCCATTTTTAGCTATGAATCCATGTTCAGCAACTAGATTTAAACGCATATATGCACGTACCCAATACAAAATTATGCAAAATTACTGCTAAAATCTTGATCAATAACTTGTTATGACTTGTATGATGAAGGGTCTTTGTTATTTTCGTAATTAGGTAAGATTGTTCATTAGGATCAGACGTTTTGAATCAATATGAGACTTTTCGATCGTATATGTAAAAGAAAGAGCTTTTGAAGTTGATATTCTACGAGCGATCGGTGCTTATCTAACTTGTTTGATTTGTTGGATGCAGATAGGGCTTGAATGTCAGCTAAGTTTGGATGAATTAGCCTTTGAAGTTCAACAAAGCTTCTGCTCTCAAGTTTACTTATGCCAGTGAAGAACACAATTAAGGCTTTAAGGACTTCAAAACTTTATATTTGCTGTTTTTGTATGATGGGATTTTCATAAAAGCAATTATCTTTCTCTTTGATTTTATTTTCGATAGAAAATAATCTTCGGAAAAGTTTTGGAATGGATTACTTTGATGATAAGATTAAAAAGAAAAAAAACTTTCTAAACTCGTAATTCAAATTACTCTACAAGATAGCTGGATCGAAACTACTTGAATGTCTAGCCAGCAAATATAAATACACGAAATGCATTATTCAACATTTTTATACTAAAACAACAACATAAATGATTATTTAAAGCTCACTCTTAATCCAAGATATATATTCATATTTGGACTTTCAAATATTCGTTTCGATAATATCTTGCTCGGCCATCGTGTTCCTCGACCAACACCTTATGGATCCTCGTATTTTCCATGGGAATTGGAAGCTCTGCCGTCGACCAACTGATTGCTTCACTTCCTTAATTTTTTTACATGGAAAATATTATTATTATTATTATTATTAATAATGAAGCAGGCAATCACAAAACGACGACGTAAGGAACCTGCGAAATTCTATGATGAATGCATGAACAATGCATCATTCAAACCAAAAGAGAAAAAAAAACCAAACGGGGGATTCTGAGCGGTTCAACAAAAACCGTTGACCTTTTTGACTTTCAATAATAATCAGGTACGGTCACTCATTCACAGGCGTGTTCTCTCTGACTCGTAGGACCCACACAAACAAATTAAAAAATAATAATAAAAAATGATCAGACCACGTGTACGTTCCAAAGCAACGACGTATTTAATCTACGGCCTGGATTCAGTACCATGCGTGGCATTGGAGTAATGATTAGGCTTGGAACGGTGCACTCTGCACTTACTCTGGGTCCCACTTACCTATATTTTATTATAAAAATTAATAAATAGAAACAGCAATTAATAATTGAGATTCCCTCTGCGACTCCCTAAGCCGGTCCTCTGCCCGGTTCAACCAAACCGAGCACATTCGCTCTTCGGCTCGGCTTTGCGGCTCCAATTAGTCGGCTGTGTATTTTTTTTTAATTTTCTTTTTTCTTGCTTTCTTTGATTT